TCTGGTTGCAAAGCCAAGGCAGTTCCTAAACTATAAACACTCCGAGCAAGACAGTTGCCTTGTACAGTTGAATTATCCGGTCGCGGCAGGCACCCCGTGCGACCAACAATCAAACACGATTCTCCGAGTGACTTCCGGCTTTGCAGAGCATTTCACGTTCAAGAGTCCTCCGAAATACACCGCCTGGTCTTTCGGTGGGAAATCGTGGGAGCCTTGTATACCCTCTGAATTCCGACTTCAGCGTCTACTCGCGTCGATTAGCGTCTGCAGTCGATAAGATAGCTCCGATTTAGCGTCGGCTAGCGTCGATTCGTGTCGATCTAGCGCCGATTAGCGTCGAGAAGCAAGAGCCGTCAAGCTGGTATGGGAGGCCCCCCCGAGTTGCCACCGAACGGGCCACTATTTTAGCGGGGCGCCGGCGGGAGAAAGCACAGTGCCAGTGCAATGGACACGCATACATAAAGTTTTACCCGAATTCAAATCTAATCCATATCTCGCGCTTTCGTCGATGACCGTGTTGAGTACCGTTTGAAGTTTCAGAGAGTAATTGTTGAATTGCAGGATAGGTGGCGCGATATTTCAGAGGATCAACGAGTGGATGGTGTCCCGCCCTTAGGAAGAGTTAGGCTTTAAGATTTTTTTCGAGGCTGCAGGTCATCCGACGTCTTCAGAGGAGGAACTCATGGCTGTTAGGCTGGCCACTTTCCTGTTTTCTGGAATATGATCCTTCGTCGATTATTATGTGCACCCACGTGGCCTCAAAGGATGACGTCTTGGGAGTTCAGGGCTCCTTTGGGCGTTGACTAACGTGATGTGGGTAATTTCGCGTCCCTCCGCTATTTGTGCCCCGCCAAGTGCGGATGATCACCAGGCTTGGCAGACTGCCTAATGACCTCAAATGACGACGTCTTGGGAGTTCAGGGCTCCTTTGGGCGTAAACTAACGAGATGTGGGTCACTTCGCGTCCCTCCGCTATTTGTGCCCCGCCAAGTGCGGATGATCACCGGGCTTGGCAGACTGCCTAGCGAATGTGACGAAGGTTGGGTGCGTTTGCCGTGCTTCGTGGTCGACAACTGGCGCTGCACTGAACCAGCACGAGCAGCTCGGATGCCAGGATCCCGCGTGTGACGGCGACGGTTAGCCTGTGTGCGCGGTTGTCAACCCAGGTTGTTCAACGGAAGCATATGCCGATGGTTGGAAGTATTGCAGTGCATCAGCCCTTGTAATGGTGACCGGCAACAGCCAGTGTGCAGGAGGCGAGTTTGTTGCGCGCGGGCCCCCCCTGAGTGCCGGCAATGCTTTGAGTGCCAGTATCGTGTCAATGGGTTTGATGTGGCATGTGGTAATTGTAGCGACGGGTATCCCACCATGAGGAGTGTTCGTTCGATTGCGAATGACGCCTCTACCACGTCACGCTGAACGTGCGACGCGCTAGTCTGAGACCACATCTAGCGTTTTGTTCACAGCTGGTTGGCCCTGAGCCGGCTGGAGCTGCCGCCGGTGATGGGAAGGTTGGCCGAAACATGGCGTTTCCATTATGTGTTTCTGCTGTCTTTCACAGCAGGGTGAGGTCATTTTCGGCAAACACCGACAGAGAGGAGTCAGAGGTTAGCAGAGACCCCTTTCGCCGTTCACAGCAGTCTTGCAGTCGCCCAGTCTAGCGAGGTGGTGACGACCTTCAATGCGCCGCCGGAGATTAACACACACACACACAAACACAAACACAAACGCAACACACAAGCACACACACACTCACACACGACAGCAACAACAACAACGACAGCAACAGCAGCAGCAGCAACAGCAGCAAAAACAACATCACAGTACGTTCCCCAATCGCTCCATAGCCCCCCAAGACTGCCATAGAGGCTCTCCCGAGTTCTGGCAACTGGCCAAACTGACCGCAGATGGTTTAAAACGGCCCCTGAGACCGACCAGGCGGTCCGCGATGGGCCAAAAGCGACTCGAGGAGTTCCCAAGTGGCGACCCAAAGAGGCCCCACGAGATTCCCGAGTGGCTCCACGAAGCTTCCAAAAGGGCACCGAGAGTCCAACAACTTCATGTCGCTTCTTTGCTGCCGATAGGGCTCTGAAGCCTTTGGAGGGCCCCGAGACGGTCCAAGAGCCCCCAGAGGAGCCCGAGCCCCAGAGGGTCGCAAAACGTCCCCGAGAGCGCGCTAAAGAGCCCATCGCCCGAGGCCTTGGCCCCGCAATCGCCGGCGCGGCTGCCCTGCTTTGCGCCCAGCTCCCGCGAAGGTGAGCACCGGGGCCACGCCGTCGGAGATCAAGAAGGCCCTCTCGGGGCAAGGGCGGCGCAGGAGCACAGACGCGGGGTCGGTGGGGGGTGGGGAGGGGGAGAGGGAGGAGGGGAGGAAGAGAGGAGGAGGAGGAGGAGGAGGAGGAGGAGGAGGAGGAGGAGGAGGAGGAGGAGGAGGACCAGTGCAAACCCAAGAAACATCAACGATGTTGCAGTAAATCCTTTCTCGAAGTTCCGTTTTCTTAGGTCCCTACAATGGTTGGTTCCATTTCATTGAGGGGAGTGCCCAGTTGGAAGATATCCGTTTGTAAATCCTGGGCCGCACCAGAGCACATTTCTTGGGACTTCGACGTTGCGAATCAATGTTACCGTTGCATCCTGAGGATCCTGAGTCGTGCCAGGCTACCATTACTCGGAGTTCAACACCGCGAATCACCGTACCTGCTGCGCTCAGTTAAGATGAATGTGCGCGACGCTTGGGCGAGAGCAACATCTTCAAAACGATCCGCTCTACATCCGCGAAGCTCTTGCACAATGCGCGGCGCCACGGCGATAACAATTTGTTGAAAACGACCCGCCCTCCATCCGTGAAGCTCTTGCAAGCGTTAGAATTTGAGATCATACGCAATGGGGAGATTTCAGGCGAAACGCCCAGCCCGCCTTACCGACACGTCTCGGGGTGCGACAGGGATCAGGAGAAGGGATGGAGGAGTAGGAGGAAGGATGGAGAAGGAGGAGGAGGAGGAAGATGAGGAGGAGGAGGAGGACCACTGCAAACCCAAGGCCTATCAAATTTGTTGGCGAACAATCCTTCCCCTAATTTAATATGGCCGTCTCCGCCGAAGACGACAGCGGCGGCGGCGGCGGCGACGACGACGACGACGACGCTCTAGAGTCCTTTTCGGGGCTTTCTTGGGAGCCTCTTGGGCTCTGTTGGGGCAGGGGGTGGGGACGGGCTCTGGTGCTGGGGCCGTGGTTGGGGCAGGGGCCAGGGCCGGGGTTGGGGCCGCGCCAAGGCTGGGGGCTGGGGCCGGGGCCGGGGCTGGGAGCCGGGCCAGGGGGGCTGGGTCGGGGCCGGGACAGGGCCAGGGCTGGGGCCAGGCCAGGGCGGGCCGAGGTGGGGGGGAGGGGTCTTGAATCCCCCGACAGGGGGACCACCCGGCCCCTGTCCCCCCTTCTCTACATGGGGGACCGCCCGGGGGATGGGGCAGGGCGTTTTTTTGGGACCCCCCCCCTGGACCCCCATCCGGGGCATAAGCAATTTTACATTCGTGTTTGGATCTTTCGGTATGCTCTGTCGGAGGTTGGGGGCTGAGATCGCAGCGGAACGGAAACCCCCAACCGGGAAATCGTTTCGTTTCGTTCGTGTCGTGCGTTCGGGCGAGGCGAAGTTGCGTGGGCGCGCGAGAGGAATGAACCCGCCACTACTAGGGCGAAGTCAAAACAGATGATTATCCCCCGCCCGCCCGTCCGGCGGTGGCTCGCGGTGTCCCGCGGTGTCCCGTGGTGTCTTGTGGTGTCCAACGTTGCTAGGGCGAAGTCAAGACAAATGATTCTCCCCCGCCCGCCCGTCCGGCGATGGCTCGCGGTGTCCCGCGGTGTCCCGTGGTGTCTGGCGTCCGCCGTTGCTAGGGCGAAGCCAAGGCACACGATTATCCCCCGCCCATCCGTCCGTCCGTCTGGCGGTGACTCGCGGTGTCCCGCGGTGTGCCGGGGTGTCCCGTAGTGTCCGCCGTTGCTAGGGCGAAGTCAAGATGTTCCCTGGCCCGCCCTGCCGTCTGTCAGGCGGTGGCTCGCGGTGTCCCGCGGTGCCCCGTTTAGTGAGATCGATAGTGATATCGATATTGAGATCGATACTGATATCGATACCGAGATCGATGTGGTGCCCCGAGGTGTCCCGCGGTGTTTCAAAAAGTGAGATCGATAGTGATACCGATCGTGTGATCAACAGGTGTCCCGTGGTGTCCCGTTGGGGGACATCGATAGTGATTTCGATGGTGGGATCGATACTGAAATCGATGTGGTGCCCCGAGGTGTCCCGTGGTGTCCCAAAAAGCGAGATCGACTGGTGTCCCGTGGTGTCCCGTTGAGTAAGATCGATAGTGATATCGATACTGAGATCGATACCGAGATCGATGTGGTGCCCCGAGGTGCCCCGTGGGTTCCCGTGGTGTCCCGTGGTGTCCTATGGTGTCCCGTTGAGTGAGATCGAGAGTGATACCGATAGTGAGATCGAGAGGTGTCCCGCGGTGTCCCGTGGTGGCCCGTGGTGGCCCGTGGTGTCCCGTGGTGTCCCGTTGAGTGAAATCGATAGTGAGGTCGATAGTGAGATCGGCAAGTGTCCCGTGGTGTCCCGCGGTGTCCCGTTGAGTGACAGTGATATCGATAGTGATATCGACTGAGTCAGATGTTGGTTCTCCCCGCTCTCCCCCCCACACAACCTCCATCTCACTCGACGGGTGTCGTATATATATATAGGTGTACTCATATGTTGGCTCAGAAGTTATTACCTATACGACCACCCTTCGGATGATAAGGAGGTTCGGGGAGGGGGTGTGAAAACCAGAGTGTTTGCATGCTTGCTGTTTGCCTCTCGTTCATACGCGCCTGTACCCGCAACCGCTTTGGCTCACCAGGGCCCTTGAGCTTGAGGCGACAACGGAAAGCAGCGCGCCCCTCTTTCGAAGTTGCATCTTCACATTGGTAGCAGGAGCAGTTCGAGCCACGGATTTCAGCGGATTGCCCGCTTCGACGGATTGACTGTCAGCAGCTTCGACGGATTGACTGTCAGCAAAGAGCTTCGCTTCGACGGATTGACTGTCAGCAGAGTTTCTATTCGACGGATTGTCTGTCAGCGAGATGGCGCCTAAATCAAAGCCATCAGAAGAAGACTACGGAGGTCTCGGGGAAGAAGGCGACCCAGCTGCTGCGCAGCCGGGAGGAGGACCAAACATCAAAGCTCCAGCCTACGACCCCAAGAGTATGACCATGAAGGACTACAAGCGCAGGGTCGCGGTGTTTCGCATTCGCACTCGCCTGCCCGTCGAGAAGCAGGCGGCGGAGCTCTACGCCGAGTTGCAGGGCGACGCCTGGGTGCACGCGGAGGACCTGGATCCGATGACTTTGCAGAACGCCGGAGGAGTTCAGATGCTGCTCGACTTCCTAGCCGACAAGTTCGACGATGAGAAGGTGATGGAGTTGGGAAGCGAGCTCAAGACATTCTTCACCAAGATGCGCCGCGAAATCGGCGAGGAGATACGTAACTACATCAACCGCTTCGACTCGCAGGTCTCGCGACTGAAGACGTTGCAGATCGAGTTCCCCGATCAGGCGCTCGCGTGGCTGTTCGTGTGGTGGCTGGGCCCGCCGCCAGATAGAGAAGCTGGAGTGCTCGGCGCCAATCAGAACAAGTACGAGCTCAAGCCGCTGCAGAAACAGACGTTGCTGCATGTAAAGGACGCTAGAGCGCTGGACAAGTTCAACCCCCGGAGGCCCGTTCCAGCACAGCCCGCTACAGCCAAGGGAGGAGCCAGACAGCGACGCTGGGGAGCTCACCTCACCGAGAACGACGAGGAGGACGGCAACTTCGAGGCATTCGAGACTCAAGCGGAGGACGATGACCTGCCGGAGGAGCTACTCGAGGAAGAGGACGAAGCGGAGGCCGAAGTTTTCAAGCTGGAGGAGATGCTAGCCAGGGCGAAGGATCGCCAGAAGGACGCCAAGCAGGCGCGAGGTTTTTATCATCGAGATCGGCTGCCAGGACACAAAGGCGGTGGACGCGGTCCCAGTTCATCAAGTGCTGGAGGCAAGGGCGGTTCAGAACGCATCAAGAAGCTGAAGGCCAGGACCCACTGCGCGGTCTGCCAGAAGATCGGGCACTGGAAGGGAGACCCGGAGTGCCCTGGACCGCCGAAGAAAGCTCACACGACGACCGCCGACGACAACCACAGCTTAGAGGACGATCAGGCCGCGGAACAGTTCTACACCAGCTGGCACGACAAGGAGCAGCAGATCGCGACGCAGAGCTTCTTCATCAACAGCGTGATGATGACGGACGCGGTCAACGTGATAATGGCTACGAAGGAGGAGCTCCTGCAACAGTGCGGGGGCGAGCTGCTGCCCGACTCGCGCTGCGCGAAGTCCGTGGGCGGCCAGGTCTGGTGCGACGACATCAAGAAGAAGCTGGCCAAGCTGGGATTGAAGCCGATCGAGTTCAACGAACGCGAAGCCGTCAGATTCGGAGCTGGGAAGCCAATCATGAGCACCATGGGCGCACTGATCCCTGTTGCGGTACGCGGAAGACACTTCTCGTTGAGGATCTCGATAGTGCCCTGCTTGGTGCCCGCGCTTTTATCTCAGAAGGCTCTCGGTCAACTGGGCGCTGTGCATGATCGCGAGGTGGGGGCTGGAGAGAGCACCATGGCGTTCAGGAAGCTGGGAGTCTCCGACCTCGAGCTCGGGCAGACCAAGAGCGGCCATCCGAGCTTCAACGTGCTGGAGTTCGACCGGGCCCATCTTTTCACAGTGGCACCAGACGCGAGCCCAAGCCAGACAGAGATCCGACTGCTTCCGCCATCACAGCGCTGGTGGAAAGAAATCAAAAGAAGCGAGGCCCATCCTTCTCAACAACAGGCCCTAGAGGTCTCCAAGGCACCCCCAGCTCAGGAACGTCTACGTGGGCCTCCAGAGATCCGCGAGGCATTTCGACTTCAGCATCGAGAACGACCCGAACTACTACACGAGAGACTTCAGCATCGAGAGCGACCCGAGTCACAACGCGATAAACTTCAAGGAAAGCGACCCGAATTAGCACGAGAAAAATTCCGACAACTCCGAGAAAGATCTAAATCTGTGCGAGACAAACTTCGAGAAGCCTCCAAAGAGCCCCAGACAGGAAAGTGCCCGATAAAGACCTTTGATGAGAAATCTAATGGTCCTAAGCGGTTACCGAAACCAGACCAGTCACGAACGGTACGGTTCAATATGAATGACAATATGAATGACGGAGATGATGACAATGATGCGTTTCGGTCTCAGCCAAGTGTGGTTCAAGCCGTTTCAGGTGATTCGTGCAACCAGCGATTTCGTTTATGGGCAGATGCCTCTCAGTGTGCTGGGATGGGTTCACGCTTGGGACATTCTTGATGTGAATACCAACAAGAAGTACAACACGGCGGCGCTGATGCGCTGGAAGCAGATCCTCAAGCTAGTGTTCATGGCAATTGCGATGACGAGACACCCGGCCGTGGCCCTCATCTTTCGCAACGGACGTCGTCACGGCAAGGGGGAGATCCTGGAAGGTCGACTCGAGCCGCCGGCACTTCGACGTCTACTGCCGTTGAGTACCATGGTCAAGGTGGAGCTACAGGAGGAGATGGGAGCCAACGGGCTAGAGTTCAAAGGTTTGGCCTGCCGGGAGATGCGCGTGATCCTGAACGAGCAGCGGATCGAGAACGGTCAGAGTCGCAAAGGAGCTCGAGCTGGAGACCCGGAACTACGCGGACTTGCCAAGAAGACGAGGGCAGAGCTCATCCAGCTGGCCAGGAAGCGCGACGTGAAGGTGACCGACGACGTGCTCAAGGACAAGATCGTGTGCCTACTACTGGGACAGACACCGACTGCAGTCAAGAAGGAGGAGATCAAGGCAGAGGCACCACTGCTTACGACCTCGAGGGGTGCTTCGACGACCAGGGGTGCTTCCTTAGCCTGTCGGAGCTCCGGAAGGGGGCAGCTCGCCAGGTCAGTGGGACCACCTGCCTCAGACGCCTCCGAGAGCGAGGAGCCGCCAACCGGGAGAAGGAGCTCGTCGATCAGCGACCTGGAGGGAATTGCAGTCGGAAGTGTCGGCGTGGAGGAGAACCAGAGTTGGGAGATGATAGCTCCGAAGGGCAAGAGTCGCAGACAGCGAGGGTGAGGCGCAAGACGAAGCCAGGCCAGATCAGGCGGTACAAGGACATGGTCAACAAGGCGATCAGCTTCCTCACCTGGCAGACTATGTTCCTGAGCGCGTTCCTGGTCAAGCCGCTTTTCTTAGAAGGAAAGGCCATTGTGCAGGACCTCTGCGAGGTGTTCAACGTCAAGACCGATGCGAGCTACGACTTGATGCAGATCTTCGCGGGCGAGGCTAGCATCTCCGAAGAGTTCAGCCGGCAGGGCCTCAAGGTATGCGAGCCGATCGATCAGAAGTATAACTACGATCTGAGAAATGAGCAACATCGGCGAGAAGTTCTACAGCTCTTCTACTCGCGCAAGCCCAAGCTGCTGACGCTGGAGTACCCCTGCACGTTGTGGACACAACTTACCAGAGTCAACTACAGAGGTGAAGCTAGACAACAAGAACTACGACGCAAGCGAAGAAGGGACCGACCTCTTCTGGACTTCGTGGAGGAGAGGCATGATGCAGCTCAACAGCAAGCGGGACATCCTTTTCGAGAACCCCTGGACGTCTGAGGTTTTCAACCAGCCGAAGATCAAGCGCTTGAAGGAGAACTCAGGGGTGAAGGAGGTGAAGATCGACATGTGCCAATTCAACTTGAGACGCCCGAAGTCGAATGAGATGATTAAGAAGCCCACCAAGCTTCTCGTCTCTAACGACTCGTACGTCAAGAAGTTGGGACGGCAATGCGATGGAAGTCATCCCCATCATCTACTGGAAGGAGCTCACTACACGCGAAAGGCTGGTCGCTACACTCAGGAGTTCGCGAAAGCTGTCTTGCAAGCCTACCAGCACAGCAACATGACCTACATCATGGAGCACGGGGTCTACGCGACGGGCGACCTCATGGACCTCATGGGCGGCGAGTCCGACGAGTGGTTCTACTACGAGAACGTGGGCGACTTCACGGAGATGCCGGCTATGCTTCCAGATGGCCCCGATTGGAGTCGAGTCGGCAGGCGTCGAGTTACAGATCTGGAGGCCGACATGGTGCTGCAGGATTTCGAGGAGGCCGACATCACCGCCGATCTCATCAAGCCCAAGTTGGACCGCACGGCCAAGCTGAATATTCACTTGTGGTACAAGCCCGAGCCAGTCGCTGACGACATCGGAGCTAAGGCCGTTCAGTTCGGGCCCGGCAGCCCAGAATGCTCAGGCAAGGATCTGGCAGCACTACGACAACTTCATCAGAACTTGGGTCATCCAAGTAACGAAGATCTCGCCAGGTCTCTCAGATTTTCAGGATGTCGATCGGAGGTTGTGAAGGCGGCGAAGTCTTTACGGTGTGCTACGTGCATGAGCAAGGTACGCAAGAGGATTGCAAGGCCAGCCAGACTTTCGCACACAGCCGATTTCTATGAGCAGATTGGGTTGGACTGTTTCACAATCAAAGATGTTGATGGAAAGCCCTGGGATTTCTCATCAGTTGTGGACTTGGGTACTACATTTCATGTCGTGGGAATGATTGAGAGCCATCACTCGGAGGTGTTAGTCAAGGTGTTCACTCAGATTTGGACTAGTTGGGCAGGACCACCAGCCAGTGCAGTCGTGGACTTAGAACGTGGATTTGGTTCAGGATTCCAGGACATGCTTGATAAGTTCCATTGCGTGGCCGTTCCCGTGGCTGGGCAAGCAGCTTGGGAACACGGACGCACAGAACGTCAAGGAGGCTGGTGGAAGGAGTTGGCCGAAAGGACCATCGCGCACACAGCTGCCTCAGGAGAGTCCGACATGCGGGTCATCGCTTCCGTCGTCATTGGAGCCAAGAACGCTCTACGTCGACAATGCGGTTTCAGTCCAGAGCAGTGGGTCTTCGGAAAGAGTGCTCGACTACCAGCCGACCTCGTAGATGGAGCTCACCACGACGCAGCACACGAAGGGGCTGAATTACAGCCTCTGGAACGTCAGCTCAAGACGAGGACAGCTGCTCGCAAGGCGTTCATGGAGATGCAGAACGACAACACGCTGCGCAAGGCTCTACTTGGACGCACCCGAGTACGACCACATCCACTCGAGCAAGGCGATTTGTGCTTCTATTACCGCCAGCTCAAGAAAGGCTCGATCAAGAAGGGCACTTGGTTGGGACCCGCTGTGATTGTCGGGAAGCAGGGCCAGAACTATTGGATCTCGCACGGCGGTTTCACTAAGTTGGTGGCTCCAGAGCACATTAGACCAGTTACCACGGAGGAAGTTTGGTGGCCAGGAATTGACGATCAACACGGCGAAGCACTCGACCAACTTCGAAGACTACATCAAGACACCGACACCACCGCGGATATGGAATACGAAGACCTACGAGGAGAACAACCACCACCTGAGCAAGAGGAAGGAGGCGAAATGGAACTTGAAGATGCAGAACCGCCTGCAGAACCAGCTGAAGACGTTCAAGGAGATATCGAGGTTCCACCCGCAGAGGAGCTCCCGCCGGAACCCCCGCCGGTACCGCCATCCTCTGCCGCTCCAACGCCAACAGACGCTGAACTTCCAGAGCAGGCGCCTCCGAACTACGGGGAGTGGAACCAGGAGGAGTTTCAACGGCGCCGAGCAGTTTACAATCCGCTAGATGACGTTCCGCAGTGCATTCGAGTCAACAGACAACGTTCAGAAGCAGCTCGACAAGCATGAGCCCTACATCGTCAGCACGCCGTAATCCTTCGAGGTGCAAGAGCTCAGAGCGAACGTCCAAGAAAAAAGCTGCAGGACAAGAAGATCGCCTGGAAGGACATGCCCGAAGAGCACAAGCCGCTGTACCAGCAGGCCATCGCGGAGCACTGGGAGGAATGGAAGAAGTTTGGCTCCGTCGAAGCGCTGTCTCTTGAAGACTTGAAGAATCGCAACGAGCCCGAAGGGAGAACGACAGCAACCGCTTCTTGCCCTCCAGGTTCGTATTTCGGGACAAGAATGTGCCCGTCCGCGCGGAGGCCAACCCCGTGCCGGTCAAGGCCAAGGCTCGGCTTTGCGCTGGAGGACATCGCGACCCAGACCTTCAGACCGGAGCTCTACGTACAGATGCGCCTACGGTTGCGAGAACCAGTTCACTGCTTTTCTTCATCATGGCCGCTCGCTACGATTGGGAGCCAGTCTGCGCTGACATTATGTCTGCGTTCATGCAGGGCGAAGAGCAGCCAAGGGACAAGCCACTCTTCATGGAGCAGCCGCCTCAAGGCCTACCCGGACTTCAGCCAGGACAAGTCTTGCGGATAGTCAAGGGCATTTTCGGTTTGGCCACAGCTCCGAGACAGTGGTGGGCTACTCTTAAGAACGCATTGCTGAAGGTTAAGCTCTCAAGCATGGACAAGAAAGAATTCAATGTGTTTCAAAGCTTGGTGGATCCGGCTTTATTTGTGGGACATGGTTCAGATGGGACACTATTCAGAACGGCGAGGGCAAGGCTGCGCTAGTCGACTGGAGGTCAGCTACAATCAGACGGGTGTGCAGGAGTACTTTTGCTGCGGAAACCATGAGTGCGGTGGGCGCTATGGGAGCCGCGATAGTCATGCGGGCATCGATTCTCAACATCTCTATTTCCCAACATGAGCATCGAGCAGATAGATCCCAGCTTATGTGCCATTCAATGTGTGACAGATTGTGCTTCTCTTTATGACACAGTTCATCGGGAAGGTGCTGTCAAGCTTCCGGCCGAGCGACGGTTGGTTTTGGATTTGATTGGACTTCGAGAACTGCTGGAAGATGAAGTCGTGGAGGAAGTGGCTGCCGCTACCAAGTCAAAGCTTCCTTTAGCGTGGTGCCCCACTAAGTATATGCTCGCAGATGCGCTAACCACAAGGATGGATGGATCTCAAATGCGAAGGGCAATGGATGGACGGATCATGTATCACCAAGACACACCGCCCAAGAACGACGACTACTCGACC